AGAGGAGAGGAGATTACTGCACTTTTCATCAGGGGGGTGGTCGGGCTGGGTGGGGCAGGGGAGAGAGCGGGGGTGTAGAGAATGACAATAATAAAAAGTCTGTGGTCTCTCAGCAGCCTCAGCGCGGGGAGCGCCGGCAGCTGATGTAGCCAGGGTGCAGCCGGGATGCAGCCGGGATGCTGGGATGCAGCCGGGATGCTGGGATGCTGCCGGGATGCTGGGATGCTCGTCTTGGGCTACTTCGCAGTGCCACCTGCTGGCCCCGCTCCGGCCCGCGTGGAAATTTCCACGCCGGTGCTCGCTGCAGGGCTGATCGCAGCTGCTGCTGTGATGTCTCAGCTCCCCAGACTGCATTCCAGCATTCCAGCAGCCCGTTCCAGCCGGGATGCAGGGAGAGCTCGGCAGTGCCCGCAGCCGGCCCCCGTCGCTCCGGCCACAGGCGGCTCATTCTCACTCCCACTCTTATTGGCAGCAGCTGCTGAGATTTCTCCATTGCGATTGCCAAATAACATAGTTTATTAATATTTTCTGCAGCCTCCTGTAGATATGAGGCTCCCACTCTTTACCCGTTTGCAGAAAGGCCTTTTCAGCAGATGGGAAGCCTTTGATTTTGTGCATATGCAGCAGGGAGACACTTTAAATGGGACTTTTACCACAGACTTATAGAAAAGCTTGTGTTTGAAGGGAACTTAAATATCATCTAGTTCTGAACCCCCTGCTTTGGATAGGGATGTCACCCACTAGATCTTGTTGCTCAGGCCCCACTTTTCTTCTATTATCCCCCTTAGGATTCAGAGAGGATGCCTAGACAAAAACTAATGGACTCAAAAAGCAACTTTGAAGATGCCATTTCTTCAAATATTTTTGAAGATTTGGCACATATATCGAGTTTGTTTCCAAAATTAAAAACAAATAAAAAACATCTTTCCCCATTCACCTGTACCAAGGATGCAGCAGACAGATACTTAAGCTATCCCAAATAGGTAACGCCACACACTGTGAGCACTGTGAAGCTGTGGCTGCCCTGGGAGTTTTCCAGGCCAGGTTGGATAGGGCTAGGAACATCCTCCTCTGGTGGAAGGTGTCTCTGCCCACATCAGGGGGTTGGAACTGGGAGATTTTTAAAGTCCCTCCCAATCCAACCCAGTCGGTGATCCTATTATTCCATAATTCTATGATTATACTGCATTAGCAGCTCAACCCTGCACTGTTTTTGTGAGGAAGGACCATGACAACTCAGACTCATTGCTCAAGGTAGGAATGGCTATCTGCCAGGATTTGTGATGAGGGCTCTACACAAAACTGCACTATTCAGTGTAAGCAGAGATTATCAGTCACAACCATGGTTTATCCACATTGAAAGCAGGAACTCTTGAAACACAATCCACTCCTTTTACAGGCATCTTTTCCTCGTGATGGGTTCATGGATCTGGCCAGGAAGGCCTTCTCAGAAGAAGGGAGAATGGAGATGAGGGCAGAAAGGAGGTGCAGGACACTAAGTGTTAAGGTTACTGTCTTGTGTAAACCAGAAGAGATATTCTAAGAGAGGAGAGTAAAATTAATAAAAGTACTTGGAAATGGTGAAGCCCTTCACTGCCATGGGAGGTGCAAGTCTGGCTGAAGCCCTGCCATTATCCAAAGTGCTCCCATACCCCTTGTACATCAAGGCTGTGATTTCAGCCCCTGCAGGAAAACTATAGGAAATGTGCAGGGAACTTAGCAGGTTTCCTCCCCTCCTCGCTCTCTGCTGTAATATCGGCGTTTTCTCTATACCTTTCAGGAATAAATTACAGGTAATTCTAGGCAGCAAAATAAATTTAGTTTTCCTAGCTGCCTTCTTATCACAAAGTCTTTATCTCTGAAAGGGGTGAGAAAGTAGGAGTTATTTCAGCAGGGCTTATCACACTGATCACAATTATTTTGCTGTTACCTAAGTGCTCACTGCTCAATGGTGGTATTGTTTCAGTCTCAGCTGCAATAACTTTACAGCAAGGACGTGGATGGTAATAAGGAGTGATTCCTGTATTAAGTGTATTATTTCTCAAAGTTTAAAAAGGTATATGCAGTCATCCTAGTTTTCCAGGGCTGCAGTCATGATTCAGGACTGAGCACCTGAGTCATTTAGCTGGATCCCTCATGGCTCCCATTCCCAAGGCTGACACACAGAAATTAATATTTTTTTCTCAGCTGTAGACTAGCATCAAGAAGCTCTGCAGCCAGGTCTGGACAGGTCTCTCACACACAGATTAAACCTGTCATTGTAATGGCATTGTGCACTGGGATGTTCTGGAAGATAAGAAACCCTCCAACTGTGGTACTGACCACAGGCAGCATAAAAGCTCCCCATTTAGAGGAGCATCCCATGCAGGACACTCCTCGTTCCAATTAATTTGAAGCACAGGCATAACCTCACAGACCTGCAGGTGGAGAAGGAGCAGACTGTTCCTTTTGTTGAAAGGCTGAGAGAACCACATCCCCAGCCCAGGCTGGCTGCAGGTGAGTGAAGCTCCCATCACACACAGCCCCCCTGATATTTCAAGAGCTGCCTGCTCTTCAGTAAATCCCTGGTGTCTGATTGCTGGGTCAAGGAAATTTCATGCCAGGCTGACTGAGGTAATGTGCGTATCAGGATGTCTGCCTCCCTCACCTCCCCTCACCTGAGAACACCCTGCTCTGGTTGCTGACTCCAAAACCCTGCCCACCAACTCTGATTAATTTGGGATGTCCACTAGAGCTGCTCAGCTTCTTTCTTTCTCATCTCAGAGGTTTCTGATAAGGGTCTTGTTGCATTGTACTTGCCACAACATCTACAGAAAGGCTTCAAACACCTAGTTAAGAAAACTAGGGGATTTTTGGTACCAGAGAGAATTGAAGACTTTGATGAGCTCCAGCATAAAGCCAGAGGATGTTTTGCTTAAGAGATGCAGAAGTTGTCACGTTCCTCCAAGAACCCCACATTCCTGCTCGGTATCCCCTTAATCCTTTGGAAGTGAGTATTTATTCTTCATTCTCCCACCACAGGAACTCCTTGCATCTTTCTTCTCATGGAAAATGAAGTCACCCTGAATCACACAGGTCACCCAACATTCCTGCTTGGTACCTCCTTAATCCTTTGGATGTGAGTAATTATTCTTCATTCTCCCACCACAGGAACCCCTTGCATCTTTCTTCTCATGGAAAATGAGATCACCCTTAATCATGCTGGTTCTCTCCAGAAGACAGTGAGATCCACTCACAGCATAGTAGGGAAACTGGGCTGATCTCTCCCCATCCAGTGATTCCTGTGGGGTCTGCTGTAGAGCTGCCTCAGTTGTGAAAGAGCACAAATATCCTGTTTGCAGGCTAAAGAATGAATTTTTTTCAGCAGAGCAGAAACAGATACTTTGTGAAGAATAATAAAATAATATCATATTTTCAGCTAATAATGAAAAGAGCCAGAGATTAATTCTTTTTAAAAGGTCTGATTCCTATTTCAGCTACTGAGGCACTTTAGTCATCACTGTAAGATGAATGTTTCATTGGTATTTATTTTAAAAGCAATTTCTAACATCAGTCAGGATTTCAAGTTGGTTTTAACCCTTTGCATTTCCTGTAAAATACATACATATGCATATGAATAGACACAATTATGCTATTCAAAGCCATTAGAACTGAGAGCCATAGACTGAGAACAGAGAAAACAGTATTTTGAAACTGTTCAATTAGCCAAAATTTATCTTATGAATTATAAGAAAAATAGATTTTCTGTCTCCAAAAATCTTAATGTTGTCAAATTAGGAATCTCTCCCTGCCTAGTTAGTTACCAAGGCATGGGTTTTTAAAAGCCTCTGACATTCCAAGCCAAAATTGTGAATTTTAACTCAGAGGACTGGCAATTGTCCACAAAGTTGTATAAATAGTATTTCTTACCCTTCTGCTGCAGACACAGATTTTATTTCTGACTACAAGAACTTGAAAATATATGCTGGCCAGTGATTCCTGACCAGCAAACATCTCCTGTGTTGCAGAGGAGGTGGCTTTTATTCTCCTTCATCTCTTTAGCTTCTTCTTCACTCTACATCAGTTTTTGTAAACACCTGTGGAGAATTCTTTGGTGTGCACAAGGTTTTTATCACCATAATTACTCACAGCACAATAGGTTGCTTGGTCCAAAATGCAAAGTACAAGTCCAGTGGTCCATGACTGACTGCTTTATTAACATCAACATTAAAATGCTTCATATCAAAAGGAGTGGGAAAAAAGATAATCCCAGACAATCCTTGGACAGAAGCTGCCTCAGTTTTGTCTGTTGGAAAAGGTCTAACCTCTGTGTTTGCTCAACATGGAGAACAAACTCTTAATAGGTTTCCATACATCTGGGCCTGTAAAAATTTAAAAGAGAAAATCAAACTCCGCAACAAATTATTTGCCAGGGGAACCTCCAATAGACATTATCATGTGAATGTGTGATTACTGCAGATCATTATTGCTTCTCCCTTTGTTCTTGTTCAGCTCATTGGAAAAATTACGTGTGATTTTTCTACAATACTATTTTGGGTTTGGGTTTATTTTTCTTGGGAAACAAACAAGTGTAGAGTGGTCCAACACACTGTAGAAGGTCAGGGATCTTATAACAGTGTCACAGGACCTTGAGCATGTACTCATACATTGGAAACTACTGGCTTGTAATTTGTAAAAATCAGGTGAAAGACACCCACTGTTTCCAGTAATTGGATGAAATTCAATTATCTCCTTCAGGCAGATCATTGGAAATCTAACTGTAAACTCTGCATTGAAGGGCTGCAAGATTCAACCCTGTGTCAAGAAGGAAAAAGATGAAGAAGAAAGGTTACACTTGGAGGACCTTGGCCAGGTGATATACCTGCTACCCCTACTTTCCCCCTGACCCTGCTGCCCTACAAGGGCACCCCTAAAGCCCCTCTGGGGCTATGCTGGATATTTGGATATTTATCCCTGCCCTTACATGTGCTCAGCTCTTGCATAATTGTGACCCAATGTCTCTGAGCTGGGCACGTCGTAAAATTCATGAGCAAATAGCTTTGCAAATATATAGCTGACTGTTTGGAATGGAATAATTTGCTCCTGTGTGATAATTTGGTGGCTGTCAGTGGGGTTTATGGCCAGAGAATTCCTGTGTCACAGTCTAGCGGGAGCGTTCAGGAATCTTCTTATGCTCTGGCTAATACTGAACAGGTGGATGCTATCATTTGTAATTTATGCATTTATTTATTTATTTATATTTTACTTTTTATTTCTGTTGGGGCAAAATGCTCTGCATAACAAGCTGACATAAAATTTAAAATGCACAGGGGTAGAACTGTAAGTTAACTTTATCGCCCGGATTTAGTGCCAGCCCTTTACACTGAGCTGCATTTGCATACATCAGAGATTCCTGGACTGTATGTGTGTCCAGGTCACTTATTCATTATTATAATTTATTTCTAGCACAGCAATACCTCGAGGCCCCAGGGAGAGGCAGTTACACATACATGCATATAATGAAAAGAGAGTTCTTGCCCTGAATTGCTCAGCGCGGAGCTGTCTACCTGGTACAACAGCATCCCATGCAGAGATGCCAGAGCTGCCTCTAAATGAGATGATGCATTTGGGTAGTATATTATAATGCCATGCAGAGACACTCTCTGTCCTGGAAGCAGTGTAGTTACATCACTACAGACCTATGTCTGGGCTAAATTTGCAGTAAATAATGTATAAACTGACAGCTACAACGCTTCCAGTTTCAGTTGTCTCTGAAAGTGCATTTTCCTGTGCAGATCTGTTCTTTAAATTTGCTGCCTAAACAGAATGGGTAAAATAACAGCTAAAAGTTTTAAATTGTCACACTCAGGAGAGAATGCAGGGGTTTTTTTCTCTGTGGTTTTATCTGTCAAAGTAGGATAATGTTCCTTGAGAGCATCTAAATGAACATGTCTTCACTGAGAGGAAAAAAACCAAAGCACAAAACAACATAAAAACCCTGACAACCCCTCCCCCCATCAAACTCACAACCCAAATCAATTTATTTAGCTTTAGTAAGTAATATATTTTAAATTCTCACTCCTTACACACAGAGGTAGACCCATCTACAATGAATTACTCAGAGTAGTAATGAGCTTCTTACAACGAGAGATGAAAATGAATTAATGCTAGATGATAATTTTTTTTTTTCTTTCTTTATAAAACATTTTACTACAGGCAGGAATTAGTGCAAAGAATTCCCATGGTTTGTGCTGTGCAGGCCGTCAGATTACATTAACACAGTGGTCCCTTCTGACTCTACAGTCCATTAACTTAAGTATGAAGTTAGAGGAGAAAGGGGGATAAAACTTGGCAGTGGAAGTAATTGATTTTTTCAGGTCAGAAATGAAATCAAATCAGAACAGCAAACATCACTTAGGATCAGCATTTTTATTTATTTATTTACGATGTTCAGCAAATTGAAACAATTTGCTTTGGGTTGAGTATCCACATCAACCTGGGATAATCTTATTAAATTCCTTTAAGAACATGTTTAATAAAAGCACGAGTGGAATTTATAAAACCCAGGGGCAGATGTGAAGGGTGTCCTGGGAAAAAAGGAAGTTCATAGACCTTTTAGTCCCTTTGAAGAAATTTTTTGTCAGCTTGATCCTCCAATTTTTTCTTATCTATATGTGTCCATATGGACTGCTTTTTTATTTTTCACAGTTATGTTAAAAAATAGACATTACACTTTGTTTTTTGTATCCAAGGATGTTTGAGAGCTGAATTTGCAAAAGCAAGCTCAAAGAACATAATGATCTTTGTTACAAATTTACTTTACACTAATAACAACAATATGGAACACCTAAACAAAAATCAGAATAAGGAGTATGGACATTATGTATAAAAACATTGCAAGGGTCCTCAAACTATGACATTTTGTTCTGTTTTGGAATGCAAAAAAAAAGTTCTGAGTTTCCATGAGATGCTGATATTCTGAGCTACAATATTATTTACATCTGTGTTTTAGCTACTCTGAAAATTCTTTATATCTCTCTCTTTTGGGACTTTTAGCATAACAATCAATTTCAAGAGGTTTGAATCTTTCCCCACCCTCAGAATTCAGTTTATTTCCCCAATGGCCAGGTGTATTTGAAATGAAGATGCTGAACTAAAAGTAATTAAATAAATAAAGCAGAATTAACAATAAAGAGCAGGTTAGTATCTCCCTTTTCCCCATGGCTGATTTTTTTCCCCAGAGGTCATAAAAGCTGCTGGAGCAATTATCATCCTGTTACATTCTGGAAGAACAGTTTTAAATAATTTAAAAAGTAATCTGTTTTTTTAACATAATTACTATCATTATATTTTTTACATGGGAGAGAGCTAAGAGATAAGTACCTTCCAAGTCAATAAATATCTTAGCCTGAGGCCCTAGAACTTTATCTGTGAATTGTTTATTTTACTAATCCTCCCTAGAAAAACAAAATAATTACTGCCTAATGATAGTAGATGTGAGTTTTCTGTTTCAATTACTAAGCAGGACACCAAAATATTTTTTTCAATATTTACAGGAACATCTCTTGAACCTGATTGGAAGTGGAGCATAAAGTGAAACATGGGACGTAAATCCACAGGTATTTTTTTCCTGCTGCACACAAAATAAGTATCAACATGAGAGTTTGGCTGCCTCCATGAACCTTGCAGGAATCACTCCTCTGCTGTTAGTCAATCAAGCCCCTGGGGAAGGAAAGATCCCATTTACTAATAAGATTTCAAGGGTCGACAAGGGAAGACTTTTCATTATAATGGTCTTGTTTTCTGAGGAATGGTTAAAGACTTCCCAAGGTGAAGTACTGAGAGATGTAATCTCTTTCTAATCTCCAGGAACTGCCACTTTCTGTTATTAATATTGCTTCCCCACCATGGGCTACAGCTCCAGAAAATGCTCGACACATGCCTGACATTAGGCACATTTTCAAAATCCATTGATTTCCACAACATTCAAGCATGTGTCTAAGGAAAAATTATGATTCCTTCTCCCTCTTGGGAAAGGAAATTATCCCCTGATTTAAATAACATCATGCCTACATATCAGTAAATAATTTAAGTTCAAGATCCACAAAAAGGTATATAAGTAATCATCTCATTCCCTGTGCATATTTCAAATTTCATTTTCAGGGCCGTTGCTATTACAGCTACTAATCATGGATTCATAGAATAATTAAGGTCAGAAGGGACCTCTGAATATTATCCAATCTAGCCTGGTACTAAATGCAGGCTTAATTAAATCAGGTTGCACAGGACCTTGCCCACTTGAGTTCTGAGTATCTCCAAGGATGCAGGTGCTATTACTTTTTTTCTTTTTTTCTCCTGTTGTTGTTGTTTTTGTTGCTATTAAAATGGTATAGTGTAGAAAATGAAGTAGAAGTTGAGACTCTGAACACTTCCAGTTCTGTCATCACTACCCCCATTTTACTTTTAATTCATCCTTTAAGTGGGATCTACTCCCCAAAGATGCAGTGAAAATTTGTTATTCGAGTCAATACAACAGGAGCAAAAATTAAGTGTTGTGTCATCTGGAGCTGCTCAGAGGGTGCCAACCCTAAGGCAATTGTGCATTTAGAGGTCTTTGCCCTTCCTACTCCCTTACAGGTAACTGTAAGGACATAATATTCTCAAACTCCTGGCAAACCTCCCCTTCACAAGGAACAGAGCTGAGGTGGGTGACGAGGGTAAGAAAGAGCAGGCTGCAGAGGATCTCTAGGAAGAGCATAGACTGGAGAGGGAATCCATAAAAATGCCTGACTGGAATACCAGTTAAAACAGGAACACGTCTAAAAGCTTGAAGGCAGAGATATTCATACCATTTTTTGCCATTGTATCTGTTTTTGTGATGAGTGAAGGGTAAAAAAAAGGGATGAATCACCCACAACAGGATGCTGCAGTTGAGGCACAAGTACAAGGGGAAAGAGGGAATGATTCTGATCAGGAAAACAGGGGTCAGGAGGCTGATTTCCTTACTGACTGATAAGAGCTGGGAGCTGGTGCTGGACACAGCCCAGGGAAATAGCAACTCAGAAATCAGGGACACCAGTGGTCAGATTCCCTGAGGAAAGTAGTTTCTAATTAAAAACTGAAAAATATGGATGAAGAGCTAATTTAGGAAAAAGAGATTTGAACAAAAGATTGAGAGAACAACACCTGTAAAATCTCTAAGGATTATTACAGAAACTGTTCCATTTAAAGTACCATTTTTTTCCCTCTTAAAATAAGCCATGTGAGAAGGGGAACTGTAGTGAAATAAAAATCACCCACTGATCCAGGAGCCACATCAAGCAGCATCCTCATGCTCTCCTGGGCCTATCACAGAAACCAGACACCATTTCCATTTCCTTAACTCCTACTGCTGCAGCACTTTATAATCCCATTCTTTTGTTCTGCTTCTTTCTCATCATTTTGCTCTATAAAAAGCAGACGGGATATATTTACAGAACTTATTGTTCCAAAGGTAGCACAGCCTGTAAGTTATTCCTGAGCATCTGCTATCAGATCCTGATGGATGTCCTGAGCCGTTTGATACAATCTCTGTGAAGTCAAAATTGAATATGCTTTTTCATTCTGTTCTGGTCCAGCAGTAGCACCAAATCTCCTCCCTAATATCTTCATCTCCTTTCAGCTGTTTTCCCTTGGATGACCCCCAGATCTTTTCGTAATTTTTTTTTGCTTAGTTTTCTTTCCCCTTTCCCAGTTCCAAAGCACAATGCAATATTTCAATTACCAAACCACGTTTTCTTCCAGAATTCTTCTCATCTATCTCCCCACAATCCTAAAACAAGCCCTTAGATATTCAGCCCTCATAGCAGGCAGTTTCTTTGTACTCATCTTGAAGCAGTTAGACTAAAATAAAAGAATAAATTAATTAGCACTTACAGTCCCGGATTTGGATCTAATGCCTGACTTAGCAAAATCCATGAGAAGAGGGAAGTTAACTTGTGCAGCAATGCACATCACTGACAAAGGGTCCTCGTGCTTCAAGAACTGAACTCGCTCTTTAATGAGAAAGGGAAAAAAAAAAAAAGGCATAGAAAGCTAATTACATCCCTGCTGTAACTACAGTTAGCAATTAAGCTGTATGCACAGCACTCACAAAACACACAGTAAAACACAGGGCTTCTTCCTCCTCCCAGAGCAGAGACTCTGGCACCCAAAATCCAGGGGGATTGCACCAGCTTTGTGTCTTGGGGCCTGACTGGAGCATGTTCCATACAGGTTGGGTCTTCACTGGAATTTACAGGAAGCTCCTGTGCAGAGCTGTTGGCTTTGTGTGTGAGCTGCTGTGTGAGCTCCTCGATTCAGAGCTGAGTTTCTGGTGGTTTATTGGGGTGTAAATAGGTCCAAAGGGACACCTGACATTAGTGTGACAAACAGTGTGTCAAACTCACCACCTGAGCATGGAAAATCATAATCCATTCTGCATTCTATCATGATTCCTCTGAAGTTTCAGTTTATTTTTTGTGCAAATGAGGGCCAAACCCACTGCTTTTATGCCACATGGATGTTTTTACTGTCGCTTTAAAAGCTATCTCAGAATAATGCCTTTCTTCCTAAAATTTATTTTCTTACATTAGGAGATATTTTTTGTTTGGAAAGCTCTCTGTATGCTGATAAACAAAACAGAAAGAGCAAGTATAAGTATACACTAATAAATTTAGCTCCACATAGGAAGTCAGGCATTGATTTTGCTAAAACTGCTGGACTCATCCTGTGCATTTTGCTTTGGTCACTGCAATTTAGGGCTCTTGTAAACAGCTCTTTCAGAATCAGTAATGGGAATACATCCTTTATTGGAGAAGCAGGGAGTCCAACAACATGAATGTCACACATTTCACACCAGTAGGTCTGAGTGGAAAAAAACAGTCCCTCATCACATTTAAATCACTTTAATAAAACCACTGAAACCAAACTACACTTTCTTCCAATATTTTAAGAGATTCGCAAGATGTGAGTTCTGTGGGGAACCGCAATAAACCTTTTTCCCCAAATATGTGAACAGAATACCCTGATTTTCATGAATTACTTGTGTTGTTCCTTTATCTCATGTGACCTAGGAATTATCGCACCCTTTATTCCATGCCGGCAGATTAAAAGATTTAGTACAAATCTAATAAAAAATGAGTAATATATCCATTCTGCTTGGCAACCTCTTCAAACAGCACCACCTATAATCCAATAGATTGCTGCTTGTCCTGATTAGCAGAGGACATGTTCAAAATGTAGAGGTATCATCTAGCAAGCTACTGAATGATGCTATCCTGATGTATCTATCCCTGCAGAAGTAAGAAAACTCTGTTGGAGTCAATATCTGCTGGCAGGTGGTGAAGAGAACAGGAGCATTAAAAGGAAGAAGATCTAAAGGAAAGATTAAGCCATAATCACTGAGAAAGTTTCTGTAATAGAAAATCAAGGCACTGCTTTGCATGGTTCCATTCTGTCTGGGTTGTTCAGGTTGGCATTAAACAATATAAGATTAAGCACTTGTCAGATGAACTAATGAGTTTTGGATTGATTTCTGTCTTCTGCAATGCTACTAGCATTTTTGACAGATATGATTTATAGGGCATTCTTTGGGCCTGTTCATGAGAAAAGCTGTTTATTTTGGTTGATGGACAGGGTTTCTAATGTTCCCAGTGGAGTGTGCAGATGGCAGGAAGGACAGTAATCTTTGAGACCATCTCTCAATGTCTAGGGTATGTCTCTTATAAATTTGTAATCAAGATCTCAAGAAACTAATGTGGGCAGGCTTCCTCTGAAATTGTTTTTGCGACCTTTGGCCAATATAATGCTCCCTGAAAAATGTATGTCTGGTACTTTTGCTGTTTAGTAAATGAAGCTTGTATAGGCAATCAAGAAACTATACTTTCCTTTTTAACTGATGTGACATATATATGCAGAGTTTTGCACATTTACAGTTCTATTCCCTCTGGCTTAGAAGCCTTTTTTTTGGTACATTTTATGTCTATGGATATTTAGTGCATTGGTAGACTACAAGAAAAAAAAAGCAGCCAGGCAGTCTGTGTTAGAAACCTTAACAGAATCTCTAAGACATGAAGATAAAAAATCTAAACAGCTGCACTGCTGAATAATTTTTATTCTCATGTGCTGTTCTGGCCACTGATTGTTTTTTGTTTTTTTTTTCTATTTGTCTTGCTCATAATCAGATTGTACAGTCTTGGAATGCAGGCCAGGTCTAAGCTGATATGGTTGCACTGACTGAAAAAAAAAGCTACACCAATACAGAGAAAAAACATGGGCCTGTCTGCCACCACTTTCTTACCTATAAAACTAAATCATCAGTTTTTAAAGAGGGTTTAAAATACATTAAGTAACACTCATATAAGAATCACCTGAAAGCTTCAGAGGGGAAGAATGATTGTAGTGTGGGTTTAGACATTTAAGGTGGACTGTTCCCACGGCTGTCAGGTGATGAATGTTGGTTGACACCATGCTGAGGTGATCCCACAGTTTGACTCCAATTCCAGTCCTGCAAGCTGTCAAAAATTTGGCTTCCTAACATGAGGAATTTAGGAA